GTCCCGCCCGCTCCCCCCCCTTCAGGGGCCTTCAGCCCCCGGGACGGCCCGTTCGGGCCGTCCCGGGGGCGGGGGGCCCCTGAAGGGGGGGGAGCGGGCGGGACCTCCGGTGCTCGCGGGCCTCCGCTCCCCGCAACAAACTTGCGGCCCCGCGCAACAAGTTCTCCGTGAGCCCCCCTGACGGTCTCACCTCGGCCATGGTCGCTGTGGGCGCGGGGAAGGGTCACATCGCCGGGCGGAGCCGTCGGTCCCGGGAGGGGGGAAGCGGGGCGGGAGCGGCTCCGGGAGCGGCAGCGGCGGCGGCGGGAGGGGGCGGGGCCGCGCTGCGCACGACGTCACCGCGCACCGCGACTGTCAATCACGGCGCGGGCCACGCCCCCCACGGCCAGGCGCTGAGGGCCACGCCCCCCGAGCCCGGGGTTTGAGGCTGCGGGTCCCCCTTGTCACTCGGGGTGTTGGTCACGCTCTCACCTGTCACTCAGGGGATCGGCCAAGCCACTGATGGTTACTCAGGGTGCAGGTCACGCCTGTCACTCAGGGCTTAGGCCACACCCCGTATATGTTAATCAGGGTTCAGGCCGCGCCCATCGCGCCCCACTCAAATAGCAAGGCCACGCCCATCGCCTGTCACTCAGAGCACAAGACCACGCCCCCTCGCCTGTCACTCAGGGCGCAGAGCCACGCCTCCATCAGCCTGTCACTCAAAGACCAAGCCAGGCCTGCGAACTGGGGCCGAGCCACTTTATTGTCACTCAAAGCACAGGCCGCGCCCCATCATCTGTCACTCAGGGCATCGGTCATGCCCCCGTCTGTCACTCGGAGCGCAAGGCCACGCACCTGTTCGTTAGTCAGGGTGCGGGATCTGACTGTCACTCAGGGCGCAGGCCGGGCTCCCTCACATGCTACTGGGTGCACGCCACGCCCCCTCGCCTGTCACTCAATCGCAAGGCCACGCCTCCAGCTCCGAGGTGTATCCCGCCGCCGTCTCTCACGCCCCACCCCTTATCTGTCACTCAGTGTATAAGCCACGCACCCTTAGGTGTCACTCAATAGGCAGACCACGCCCCGCTAGCACAACTCAATGCACAGGCCGTGCCCCGCCTGTCACTCAAGGCACAGGCCGCGCCCCCCCAGCGCTGAGGGCCCGGCCCCGCCCCATTGACTCCACGGCACCGGCACCATCGCCCCGCGCCGCTCCCGCTCCAGGGTCGGTGCCGCTCCCTTCCCCCGGCCCCGCTGCCGTACTCACGCGCGGAGCCGCAGAGGGGCGGAGCGGGTCTCATGGGCCGTGCAGCGAACGGAGTGTCCTCGGGGAACGGGGGCTCCTGCCGTGCGTGAAGCTCTTGGGTGGCACAAGAAGAACAGCTCGAGGTTAAAAAAACACTCAAAAAACCAGGAAAACCATCCCCCAAAAAAGGCCACCCACCCCAAATGCAGCTGTCTGGTCCCGTTCCTCGCGTCTCCCCGCAGCCCGCGGTGGCTCACCTGCCCGGCTCAGCGCCGTGCCCGGGCGGGCGCGGGGCCGCGCTCGGCGGGCATGGCTGTCAAAGCGCGGACACCGCGCCCTGGGCTGTTACCGCCCCGGCCCGGGGAGCCCCCGCCGTGCCCGAACCGCGCGGGTCAGGCACAGGCGAGGAGCCGCATGCCCAGCGCTCACAGCAGCACCCGCGGGGGTCTGCGCTGACTCAGGGCGGAACAGCCCCCCCGGCGCTGCGGCTCCCAGTGCGGCTCCCGCTGTGCCGGCGGGGGCGGGACCCGAACCCGGGGCCGTCCCGGGGCTGCGGAGCGGGGACAGCGCGGCCCGCGCGCGCGCACCCGCCTATGGGCGGTGCCGATGCTGGCGGCCAATCCCCGCGCGGCGTGTTGGGCGGTGTTGCCGTGGTAACGGAGGACGCCGCCATGCCGGGCCCCGCCGGGCCGCGGCCTCCGCCGTGAGTGGGACCGGGAGGGGCTTTAAACCTTCCAAACATCCAGATATTAATTAATGTTAAAAATGGCTCAGAGCCTTCAAAATCACCGGGAATATAGGAGAAATTAGAATAAATAATAAGTTGTAATGTACAGTGAGTTATAATAAATAAATGGTAAGATTCCTTTATTATAAATGTTTTAAATCCCTTAAAATAATTGGGAATATATAATAGCAGAGATAACAAATTAGGATAATAAATGGTAAAAATCCTTCATTACATCTTTAAAAGAATTGGGAATTATAAGATAGATTATAATGTATAATAAATTAAAATATATAATTAATTACAATAAATAAATGGTAAAAATCCTTTATTATAAATGGCTTACATACATTAAAATAATTGGTAATATATAATACATTAGAACATAAATAGAATAAATTAGAATATATAATAAATTAGAACAAATGGTGAAATACCTTATTGTAAATGGTTTAAATCTTTAAAGTAATATATAATTCATTATATATAATAAATTATAATGAAATTATAAAAATACTTAATTGTAAATGGTTTATATCCTTTAAAATAATTGATATGTGATACATAGTAGTCTAATAATAAAATATAATAAATAAATGGTAAAAATCCTTTATTGCCATTTATGATATTTTATAATATTAAGTCCTGTCTCACAAGGGCTGGGCCAATTGTGTTGGGTTAACAATGACATGATAACCCTTTTAATCCTTTAGATTCAATAATCATTTCTATTTCATAATCTGATACATTTATATTTAATATAATCCTCTATATTTTAAGCAATCCTTTCTATTTAAACCTTTCAATCGTGGTAAAGCATTGCTGGAACTTGAGGGTGCTGTGTTGTTTTGGGTGTTGTGCTGGTTGAGGAGGAGCCTCTGTGGGTGTTGCAGGGCCAGGGCCGGAGCAGAAGGAGCAGCAGGAGCAGGAGGAGCAGGAGCAGGAACCGGGGGGGTCCTTGTCCCCCCCAGGCGGGGCAGCATCGTGAGCGGCTCCTGCTCCACGCAGAGTTCCCGCAGGACCTCCATGGTCTCCGAGGGACGGCCAGTGCGCAGGGGGGCCCTCGTGGGCATCCAGGGGTCCCTGCAGGTGAGAGCCAGGGACACCTCCTGAACGATGGTCGCTGTCCAAAATCGACCTGCAGGAATGATCACAGAACCATGGAATGGTTGGGAGGGACATAAAGGTCATCCTGTCCCACCCCCTGCCATGGGTAGGGACACCTTCCACTAGGCCAGGTTGCTCCAAGCTCCATCCAAACTGGCCAAGGACACTTCAGGGATGGGACAGCCACAGCTGCTCTGGGAATTCCATCCCAGCTGCTCACCACCCTCAAAGGGAAGAATTTCTTCCCAATATCCCATCTAACCCTGCCCTCTGGCAGTGGGAAGCCATTCCCCCTTGTCCTGTCCCTCCAGGCCCTTGTCCCAAGTCCCTCTCCAGCTCTCTTGGAGCCCCTTTAGGCACTGAAAGGGGCTCTAAGGTCCCCCTGGAGCCTTCTCTTCTCCAGGTGAACACCCCCAGCTCTTCCAGCCTGGCTCCAGAGCAGAGGGGCTCCAGCCCTGGGAGCAGCTCTGTGGCCTCTTCTGGACCTGCTCTAACAGCTCCATGGCTTTCAATTCTTTCTATTCCCGCACTCAGGCTGGGTCAGGAACTGCATTTAAAGACGTGACTGACCTTCCTACAATAAAATACCTTGAACACTATAATTAAAAAGATGGATAATTATCTCATTACTTTGGCTGCACTTTTAATTGGACTTCAACAGTTCAGTCACTCCTGGAGGTCATTAGAGAATAAATGAGCTGAAAAAGCCACAAGGGTTGACCAAAGAGAAATGGGTTTTTCCAGCTATTTCCGGCCATTAAAGAGGGTTCCAAAGAAGTCCCAGGCAAAGGTGACTTTGATCAGCCCTCTTGAGCTGATCCCTGAAGGAAAGCAGGAATGCAAACCCCCTCACAAGTGTCATCCCTGTTCCTTGGGAACACAGTGAAATTATCCTAATTATTTAAATATTTCTTCAGGTTTTTGATGAAGATGGGAAGAATGTGACACCGCATCCCCTCTTCCAGTCAGACCCAAATACTGCCGGATCCAGGCAAGGCAAACTTTATTGTCAAGTATTTTATCTGTGTTGATAATACTTATTAAATACAAACAACCTTTTTTACAAAAATGTAAAATATATAAATTCAAATATTAAATTATTAAAAATATACAAATCTTGTTAACATTCTCTCTTTTACTAATTTAAACCAGTTACCTCTGGGTGATTATGTGCATCCAAATGACAAATTCAATTAAGTCATACAAAAAGAAGGTAAATAACTATTTGTGTTTAAAATGAAAAATCATGAGCCACATCACTGTATCAAAATGCAATAAATAACTGCAGTTGTGATTTTTAAGATAAAGAAATTGCTCTTTGAGGACCATCTTTCTGTCATGTTTCCCAGGCTGGCTGTTACAACGCATAATCCCAGAGGCTGGGATATCAACCAGGAGCAAATATAGACAAAAAATGACTTAAAAAATACAAAGCATCTTCTGAAAATAAAGACATCTCTTTTTTTTTGAGACAATTTCTGCTTATTTCTTGTCACTGAAGGACATATGGAAGCAGCAGCACTTGGATATCAAACAAATCAACAACCAAGTCTGGACTCGAGGGAACAGCAGAACCTGGCTCTGGACAAGACCCAACTTTGAGCTTATCTGGTAAAGAACAGACACTATAATTATAGATTTAAACTGTTCTTTGGAGCACTGGGATTTGTGAGACACTGAGTCAGCCCAGCACTTCAAAGGAACTTGGTGCTTTACAATACTTTAAGAATTAATTTGTCTTCTTTTAAATTCAGAGCAGAAAAGCACTTGTTCACCTCATTTTTCAGCTGTGCAGGTGGGGCAGGAGGAGATGGAAGAAGAATTAACAGAGGCAGACCTGGATCAGAGAGTGGATATTTACCTCTCAGAGACAGACACACTCTGGATGTTTGATATGCCCTCTGTCATGGTGTCTGTGGAAGCAGAAGATGCTGGGAGAGTTCTGTAGGTATAGATTGGCCCCCATTTCATCTGTGTTCAAAGCCTTAGGTCTCTCTTTGACAAGGCTAAATTTCTTGCAACTCCATCATATTGATGAAATTCATTCTGTCTTTCACTGAAAAATTAAGGCAGGTTAGGAAAAGCAGTGGGTAGGGGAAAGAGAAGCGTGTGATAAGGAATTACATGACTAAATGTTCATGAAAACAGTAGGAAATCACAAACCTCTGCATTCATCTTTGTGTGTAGCTTTACAGCTGATTACTTATTAATAAAGAAGAGATAAACATACTAAGTGTTGGCTTCCTCTGAAGCTCCTCACAGTGCTTCTAGTTAGAAGGAACCATAATATTGTGTCTCCCCTTAGTATTCCCACTTCAGAGTCCTCCCTGGACTCCCATGAGCTTTGGTGGGGAGTTAACCCAGGGTTTTGGCTTATTCCCAGGAGCTGACTGGGACAGAGAGCAGCAAAGTTCTCTCCATGTGACAGACCTGTCACACAGCTTTTGGAAGCTCAAAGCCCCAAAGCTGCAGCTGACAAGTCAAACAACTCCTCTCAGCAAGCTCTTTCTGCTTGTGTCCACACCAAGTCCATGGTAGGACTCCAACCCCAATGTTTGTCAATCACACTGGTGGGCTTTTTGGGAATAACAAGAGGATGAGCATCCAACAAATCAGGCTGGTGTGCACAGAGGGTATGGCCAGCTGTACAGGAACAGTAATTCTCCCTGAGCACAGCAGGGGTGGGGTATGACCCACATCATCTGCTCAAATAGTGAAACCAAAATAATAAAAAAATGTTCACAATTCCCACTGACATCCCTACAGAACTTGAGGGCTGGGGGAAATAGAAATGCAGCAGTTTCCTTTTTGTGTCTTGGATGCTCTGCCTTTCACTCCCAAGTGAAGAGAGCTACATATTTCTGAACTCCTCTGAATTCCCCCAAAATTTACAGGTAGTTGGGGTAGGGATTTTTGCTGGTCCTGCTCTCTAACAAGCCATTCCTGTTTTAGAACAGCATCACAAAGGTCAGAAACAGCTGCTGAGAGAAATACAAACACTGAAATAACATTTAGCAATCCAAAAACATCCAAGCAATAAATGTAAAAAATGGAGTGTCCTCTCCTGTTCAAAGACACTGAGAATTTGAATGCAGAAGTTTTTCAGAGAGTTGCCAAACACTGTCTTCTTTGTTTTCGAGGGAGCGGAATAAGATTTACGCTGACATTTGCAAAACCAAAGCTGGCAGTGAACGCTTTGAAGAGAGAATGGTGCAAACCCTGGCTGGAGCTGCCAAAAACAAGGAAGTGCAATGTGAGACAATTATCATGGAAGATAAAGGTAAAACTCAAAACACTCCCTGCAGCCGGCAGAACACTGAGAAAAGGGCTTTTTTATTTCTTCCATCTTGGGATGTTTCCTCAACTTTCACTTCCAGAGCTTTGAGTTCAGACAGGGCAGTGTGATTTGTGGTGGCCTTTTCTGGCCGTCCTAAAATGTGAACTTGTTGCTGGAACACTGTATCCATTGCAATAAAATAGTCACGAACACTAAATGAGAGCTGCTGTGCCCTGCCTGCCTCAGCACTTTGCAAGCAGAGCTTCTCCAGCTAATCCTCAGCTCTTCCCTTGAAACATGAAAGGACACAGCTTCCTTTTCCCCCTTTAACTTTTCAGTGACGCTGGTTTCTATTTCTGTTTGCCATAATGCAAAGAAGGGAACCTCTGTTATGAGATTTAAAACCTTGGGGAAAGCAGGAAATCTTGGCAGTCTCACCAGATCGATGCAATTTTACAGAATGTACAACCTCAGCGCTCTAAAAAAATGTGCCTTTTGTGTGTAGGAGGCCAAAGAAAACTCTGGGAAATGCTGTCTAAAACATTTTTCCTTTGTGTTTGTTAGTGCATGTAAAATGAGGGAAAAAATAAAAGAAGTAGATAATCTGATTTGAAAATGTATTTGCCACTTTTTTTGAGTGCCTTGAGCATCAGCAGGGCTTGTTCCAACCCCTGTTTGAAGAGCTGAGCACATAAAGGTAAGGTTTGGGTGGGAGCTGGCCCTGCTCAAGGCCCTTGTAATAATGTACCAAAATAAGAGACAGGTATAACACAGTGAAATTCATTGCCAGGGATGATGGTCACTTCCTGGGACTTGGACAATTCACTGGATGCATCAGAAATAGAACCTACGTCACGGGCAGAAGGATTCGGAGCCACAACAGGGGGAAGCAGCAAATCTCCCACAACGAAAGAGCAGGAGCAGACTGTGTCTGTCTCTTCTGACAGAGGTAACATTTTACATTTCTGTCCTGTTTTCATCCTTCTAAAACAGGCACATCACAATGCTGTGTGGGGAAACTACCTGAAGAACGTGCTTGGCCTGACTGGCACCTGAAAGAGAGTTTGCTAATGAATCTTGGATAGGGCTGCACTGAGGCCTCTGGTGTCCATTGCCATCAGAAATTACCTTAAATAGAGATAAACAGTCAGGGACAAGGCTTGCTGGTACTCACTCACTCACTTGGGACAGTAGAAGCAAAATGCCATTTGTGAAAGATTCCAGAATATCTCATCATACTGAGTATCTGAGCAATAAAAGAAAACAAAATTAAAGCAAGAAAAAATTTATAGTGGAAGCATTCTTTGATCCTGACAGATTCTTCTATGCTTTTTGCAGGTGGAGGAGAATTCTTATCTCTCAACTTTTATGTGCAAAGTTTTATCGTGTTAAAATCATTTATTTCCCATATTATCTGTTATCAGGCATCACAACTTCTTCTCTAATGATTTCAGAAAGCACTGTTCCTGTCAGGAGCCAGGAAGAGGAGAAATGCCATTCAGAAGCTATATTAACATCAGAAAACCTAAAGCAGGATTTAGTTATCATGGAGAGGATTTTAATGGAGAATATTTTTCAACCCAAACTTGCAGCTTATCGGCAGATTCCTGTCCTTATAGGTTTGTTCTTTACTGAGTACCCTGTTTCCAGCACAAGGCTTTACATCCTATTGGAAGTCAGGGAGTTATGTCCCTCACTGGATGTCTTTACAGATGACAAGTCACTTAAATAGACCAAAGAGAGGAGAGTTTTTGAGATGCCAACATGAACTTCACAGTTTTACATGTACTTTAACAAACTCAGTGGAAGAACTGAATAAATTAACTCTGAGCTTATACCACAAATTGAGACTTACTCAAAATATTAGTCAAACTTGTTTCCTAGAGATAAATTCTGCTACTTCTCTCACCACTTTTTGCACTGGAATGTCTCTTGTATTTTTTTTTAAATTTAATTTTAGAAGGAGACTTATCACAGCATTGTACAACTCAGCTGTGGTGTTACATGTGTAGTGTGGTGCTTTAAAATTTGGCATCTAACTTGAAAACAATCTATTTAAACACATTTTTAAATACATGAGATTAGAAACATTCCTGGTGGGGGGTGGACATAAATTCCTACCTTTTTGCTGGGTAGCTAAATACGCTCCTTTCACACCTGTAGTACAGACCTGGCACACCACAGCCTTGTCGAGTTGTTTTCTCTGTCCCCAGCAATATTTCAGCCACAGTTTTAGAAGTCAGGATGTCTTAATTCTTCAGATCTTCACTTTTTTTTTTTGCTGCAAAATATTTGCTGAAAGGGCAAATTTTTTCTTCTGATGTGAACTACTGGAGTGAGATGAGTGAAATGTTCCTACTCAGACTCTACCATATCTGTGCATTTCAGAGCCTGACATTACCTCAGACAGGGGTGATACAGCAACAGCCACGGAAGAAGATGAAGAGGAAGAGCATGATAAGGAAAAGAAGGATGAGGGAAAAGAAGGAAAAGGATTCATTGACCCATCAATGACAATAAATAAAACCCCAGAAGAAGATGCAGCTCCCAGGCTGGAACAGCTGTGGTCTTACACGTGTGATTTAACCAGCGGCCACAGCGTGAGCAGCATGGCCTGGAACAAAGTGAACCCTGTGAGTTAACAAGTCACTCCTGAGCTCTTTACAAGCAAGTGGTGGTGTAAATAAACTCCTGATTTTGGTGTGCTTTGCTGGGAGGGATCTCAGAGAGATGGATCCATCCCTGCAATCATGTGGATTGTTTTTGGCCTTCCACATAACAACCTGTTCCCTTAATCTACAGGTTGAACAACAGAACCAGGCTTTCCTACACATATATTACAACAGCCTTAATTGGTCCAAAATTTAACTGAACTTTAGTAGTGTATTCCCAAAAGGCAATTTTCTGCTAGCAGTGACCCTCAAGGCAGAGTTTACCCTGGGCAGTCACCTGAACAACGACATTAATAAATTTGGTCTGTGATAGAACTGGCAGTTGAAATTTAATCTCCTCCTACTAAACTTTATCACCAGTGATGGAGTTTATTCATGATAGTTTAGAAACCACATCTTTGGCTTTAATAGTAATCTCCCCAAAACAGCAGCAATCATCAAACTTTAAGGATAAGATAAATAATAACAGCACAGATTTCTAAGCAGTTGGCCCAAGTTTGTTTAATTTGATTTCAGTGGAAGTGAGAATGACTCAGACATTTCCATACTCAGAGTCATGTAAGGCTCAGTTTTCCCCACACCCCAAAAATAATGAATGGAAGGAAGGTAAAAAGCAGGTAAGGACACAAAACAGAAAACCAGTAAGGGCAAAAAAGACAGAAAACAAAGACCGTTTCATACTGTTAGTACACCAGATCCCCAGATATTATAAAGTTGGCCACATTTAGAGGCCCCAGTCTTAGAATACAGGGCAAACAAACACCTACTTTGAAAGTGTGAGTTTCACAAACTGCTTGTTGAGTGTAGGAAAAGAGAAATTAATGGAGCCGAAGACTAAAGTCTTGCTGCTGTTTTTCACTTCTACCCATGGAAAGGAATTACAAGAATTCATTGGACCCCACTGTAAAAAGCTAAAAGCCAGGAGTTTGTGGTGCTCACTGAAGCTCCTTTTATAAGTAACCTTGAGAGAGAAAACTAGAAGTATTATTATGCATTCCATTAAATACTGCACATCAAATATAGTTATAGAACAATGTTCATCCTGTGTGTTATTCCACCTGCATATGACATGAGTGTTGTTTTTCCAGACTTTGCCCTGAGGGTCACTGCTAACACAAAATTCCTGTTTGGAAATACACCACTAAAATTCAAGTTAAACTGAGAGATTTCTGTTAATTTGTGCTTTCAGGATCTTTTAGCCATTGGTTACAGAGAGTTTGATTCTAAAGATCAGAAGAAAGGCTTGGCTTGCTGTTGGTCACTGAAGAACCCCATGGTAATGAGCAGCCAGTTTGCTTTTCTTCAATGTGTTTTTCTCTGTACTATTTCTTCTTTATTTCCTTTTTAACTATAATTATCTAATCTAACTTCTCACAATAGTGCCAAAAAGAAAGTAATTGCATAGGTATAACATTTATACTTTACAGATCCATATGGAAAGGAATCCTTTTAGAATTAGCCATTTTAAAAAAATCTTGGAAATCTCAGTTATGAAGTGTCCCAGTAAAAACCATCTGATTGCCATCAAATTACACAACTTCAATTTGATTTCTTCTACAAATTTTACTTCATCAAAACTGTGTATTAGACTAATTTAATCCATGAATATTCAAATCTTTGATGCATCTTTATCACATCAACAACAATCAAATGCTCTCGTGACTCCCTGATGCCACCACAGACCTTTCTAGATATTTGGTTTGGAGTAATCCAATCTAACTTATTTTACAGTGTCATATTTCTGCACAATCTTTATTTTTTCCTAATTTTATCGGCTGCAGCAAGAAATAAATGGAGCAGTTTAGAACACAGTACCTGATTTCTGTCTAGAAGTCACTATGGTCACTTGAGTTTTCCAGCAGAGCAATTTAGTGCCCAGCATTGAGAAGATGGAGGTAAATTAAGAAACTACCTTAAAACACACTTGGTATTTTTCTCCTGGTCAGTGGCCAGAGCGCATTTTCCAGTGTGACCATGGTGTTACTGCTGTGGATTTTTCCCTGGCAAGTCCAAACCTTTTAGCAGTTGGAACATCCAGCGGATCTGTTGCAGTCTATGATGTGCGGAGCCGGAACGACGCCGCGTTCTTGGACAGCAGGTGAGGCTGTGACCTCCTCCCACTCCAGGCACCTCTCACCAAACAACACTTTGGAAAGGTGAAACAAAGGAGTCCTGTTCTTTGAAGTTTTAAGAAAATGCAGCAAGTTACCACCGTATATAATTTATACTCCATGTCCTATCCAAGACAATCCTGCCCCAGATAATAAATCCTTTGGTGTGATCAGTGCTATCTTTTGGTACTTTCTCCCTGATTCCACTTGCCAGAAATGTAGAAAACATCAGAACAGGTGAGGAGTGAGCAGGAATTAAGAAGAAAATGAAAGAGAGAGGAAGGTGATGATGGAGACATTTGCCCTAAGGGCAGCTCCCCAGGTCTGGGCTCTCTCCTCCAAGGTGCAGATTGATTTCATGGTTCAGGTGTCACTGAAAGGTGTCAGCACATAAACAGGGCCCTGAAACCAAGTATCAAACATGTTTAATAGAGAAAAAATTTTCCTGGAGAAAACAACCAATGTTCAGACTATTTTTTTTCAAGAAAAGCTAAACATTTCTATCATAAGATCTGACACTCATTACAAAGTGGAAGATTAATTATTTTTCAAATATATTGCCTTGTCTTTGTTCAGATATGATTTACAATGTGCATCTTGTGTTCCAGCGCATCCTTAAATAAACATACAGGTGCTGTGTGGCAGCTGAGGTGGGTGGAACAGGACAGAGGTGCAACAGAAGGTGACAAAAAAGAGAGACTGATGTGTATCTCAGCAGATGGGCGAGTAACTGAGTGGCTCATCCAGCAAAGACTGGACTGCATTGGTGAGCAGAGCAAAAATACCTGAAATTGCTTTGTTTAATTTCAGGTGACATTACACCAGTTATCATACGCAAAAGATTTAAGTCTGGCATTCCAGAGCAGCCTGAGTTACTCACAGGGCTGTCACACACCTGTTTGACAAAAACTCCTTCTATTTGCACAGATCTGATGAAACTAAGGCGAACAGAAAGGGAGAAGAAGAAATTACCAGGTGAGAAAGAAAGGAAAAGTGAAGCTCCAATATCTCAACAGGCAGCTGGAATGTGCTTTGACTTCCACCCAGAGGTAGGCTCAGAAAGTCCATCCTAGTTAAAGTTTTGCCGAGGAAAACTACATAGCAGAGGTGGGATCCTCAGCTGGAGCCACTTCAATACTAGTCAGGGACTTGGCACTGGGATTTGAAGCATAGGATGAAATGGTAAACCAAGCCCATGAACAGCCCTGTCCTCTCAGCCACGCTACTCACATTTCCTTGGGCAGACCCTGGGGCAGTTTCCCTTTGTGCATTCACCAGGTCTGTGAGGATTTGTTCAACATCTCCAAGTCCAGGATGTAGGGTGCTGTGCTTCTCTTTATCCAGCTGAGTTTTTCTTCCACAGAGCACTTGAAGAATTTATGCCTTTTCCACATGGACTGCTGAATGTCCAAGGTTTTCAGGAGTCAAAAATCCCAGCATAAGTTCTGCAACGATTGAGAGAACACATATAGGAAATGTGCTACATTCTGGCCCCTCTATACTCACCTCACACACCCCAGCCCAACAAAGCAGCTCCATCTCAGCTCTTCAGAGCCTGTCTCTGCCATACTCATCCAGCCCTTTACGATTCCTGAATAAGTGATAAATTGGTTAATCCAACTGAGGCTTTTTTTACCTTTCTTTCAGGATACGGATATTTATCTTGCTGGAACAGACGAGGGCCACATCTACCAGTGCTCTTGCTCAGGCAAAGAGCAGATTCTGGGAACATACAGAGGCCATAAAGTGAGTGATGCACAGAAAACATAATGACAGCAGAAACCATTCAATTAAGTTAAAAAATGTAACAGTTTCTTTGCTTATATTATAATGTCTAATAATATAATTATATATACATGCATATATAAATGTAACATATTATACATGTAACATCTGCAACAAAAGAAACCTAAAGTTCTCTTCTTATATTAGGAATGAATTCCCCTGGCATGAAGCATCACAGTCTTACAGGATTACTTTCTACACTATAAGGATTTTTAAAGTAATTTATTAAAACTTCTATAAACTGGTTTAAAGCTTTAGTCCTGGCTTAAGAAAATAATCAGTAATGTGATTGTCCTGTACAGTTAAATAGTCTTACTTCTGACAGAAAGACGGGTAGCTCTACAAGAGATTCTGTAGCTCTACAGTAACACCAAGTTGTTTTTTGTTTCTCCCCAAACTCCAAGGGTCCTGTGTACAGAGTGGCCTGGAATCCATCCAGCACAGACATGTTCCTAAGCTGCTCTGCAGACTGGAGCACCATTTTATGGCACCGGGACTCACAGACGCCCCTTTTAACTTTCAGTTCTGTCACAGCTTTTGTTCATGACATCATGTGGTCTCCAAAATCAGCCTTCATATTTGCAGCAGTGAAGGAAAGCAAGGTAGAAATCTGGGATCTGAGTGTCAGCATGTAAGTAATGACTTTTCTCAAAGAAAATTCTGAAACCTTATGGCATGAAGGCTACAAATTATTGCCTAATCAAAATTATCAGATCAGGACAGCTTATTCAGCCATTGAAAGCATTGCATCTTGAAATACTCATTTTGTAAAAGCAGATGCTATTACCAGAGAAATGGAGTTAGAAC